CAAAAACGGAACGGAAATATAGTTACAAAATATATTTTACTCTAATAATTCAGTATTTTTAAGTACTCATAGCAATGTAATTTTGCAAGAAAATTGCAGAAATTATGTATATAATTGCTTCAACCACATTTAAATAACGAAATATTAACGTAATTAAGTACATTTACTTGCGATCGAGGCGACATTCCGTTCCGTTTTTGCTACATGGGACTAGTAGAGAAATTTTTTACGGAACGGAACGTGAAAGGAACACTCAATTCTAGTGAGAAATCCGATCCGTCATTTCGATCCGTGCTCAATGGGACACCATTGAATTTTATACATACTGGGCATCGATCATGTAATTTTTTCCTAGGAGCGGAAACGTGAAAAATGAAAACTTTTATGTGAATTCGACAATTTTATTAGTCGAATTTACGTGAAATTTTCACGTTTCCGCTTCTAAGGAGAAATTACATGATCGATGTCCAGACCGTGAGTCGACGAAGAAAAGGATTAATTGTGTCTCTTTCTTTCATAGACGCATTGGTGTGTGCAGTGTGTTGTGCGTGGTGTGCGCGCGCGTGTAGAAACATGGTATGCTTCCTCGTCCTCGTTTTCTTTGAATTTCTCAATACTGCTCTTGCATGCGGTGATACGTTGACGGTCTTATCATCTATATTCTGTTTATGTATTAAGCATGGTTTTTTATATCATATCAAATCGAATCTGCGGGTCAAAGAGGAGATCATTTCTCTATATACAAGCGTAAGTAACTGCAGTAGTAGTTTAGCAGTAGGAAAAGATATAAAATTCAAAATGAATGCATTGACTAAAACTCGAATAATTTTTCAAAAATTAAATATTCGTTATTATAACGACAAAGTTGGTATAATCGGAGTACCATTTGACAAAGGGCAGGTAAACACATTTTTATAGAATAGTAAAAATTTTAATATTCATACTGTAATGTATTATTTACAATCATAAGAGTCTATAAAAGCAATTAGTAATGATATTAATTATAAATTATAGAAACGATGAATTTTACAGAAAAAAGAAGGAGTGGCTCGTGGACCAGAGGTAATTCGTGCAGCAAGAGTGATAGAAGAATTGAAAACGTTAGGTATCAGCAACACATAGTACTTTTCCATTTTGTATTTGTGTGTGTGGGCACGCGCGTGCCCACACACACGCACACACATTTAAGTTAACAATCTACAATTATTCTTAAAAAGAATTGGATGTGCGAGATTATGGCGATATAGTTTACGATGCGAAGGATATAAATGATATAAGTAATATGTCAGAATTGGGCCATGTGGCTAGTTGTACGAGTCGTTTATCTGAACAAATTCGTCAAGTATTACGAGATGGCAGACAAGCATTAACAATTGGTGGTGATCATAGTTTGAGTATTGGTACTATTGACGGTCACGTAAAAGTACAAAATATTTTTATTGAAAAATCGATTATTTATTATTATATCTGAATGTTATATAAGATGTTTTTTTTTTTATTTTAGGAAAAAGGTGATGTTGCAGTAATATGGGTGGATGCTCATGCAGATTTAAATACTAACAAAACTAGTGAGAGTGGTAATGTGCATGGAATGCCCGTGGCATTATTAACTTCAGAGCTAGCTGATTATTGGCCGTATTTACCAGGCATGGACTGGCAAGTACCAATGTAAGAATATCACTTACATTTGAGCATTTGCATTTAAATCTCGATCTATTTTTCAAATTAACATATGAATTAAAGAAGATAAATTTGACATGTATGATTTTTTCTTGTCCATCAGGTTGTCCATCAGAAATGTAGCTTACATTGGTTTAAGATCTGTAGATCGCTATGAAAGATTAGTGATCGAAAAATTTGGAATTACCGCTTTCGGAATGGAAGATATAGAACGCTATGGTTCGAACGTGAAATAGTTATACGTTAATTACACACATGTGCAATGCGTTTAATATTATAATAATATGCTTTTAGGTATTCATAATGTAACACATATGGCATTGAATAAGATAGATTCTCATAACTCAAAATCTCTACATGTTAGTTTCGATATAGATGCGTTAGATCCACTCGAAGCACCCAGCACTGGAACTCCAGGTAAATGTTAATATCAATATACAAAAATATGTAAAAACATCTCAATTGTATTACCTTAAATTTCTTATTTATGTCAAATCGGCAATAAAGAGTCAATAAGAATCTAAATTAATTCAAATTCTAAATGAGTGCACTGAATAAACTCCTTTTTTAGGACCATCTGTCTTATTACAATTTAATATATGACACAAATGCGTATCTCATCATAATTTCAGCTGTGAATTGGGTGTACTTAAATGTTATTTTAGTGAAACAGTATATGAAACAAACAATGCATATACAAAAATGTAAGAGTGTACTCAAAATTAGTCTATAATATTATAGACAATTGATTTATAATTTTCTTACATATTGGTTTTTTATTATGTTTAATTTAAAATCTGAAAGCCAAACATTTTTGTCTTATTTGAATATTTATTTAAATTCTAGTTCGCGGAGGACTATCTCTTAGAGAAGCAATTCATCTTATGGAAGAGATATATAGAACACGCAGATTAAGTGCAATCGATTTAGTAGAAGTCAATCCGCAAATTGGCACTAAACAAAATGTAGAAATTACTGTAGAAGCAGCTATACATATTATCCAAGCAGCCTTGGGTTATACAAGACGTGGTTTGAAATTACCTACAGGTATTACAGACATGCCTTTACAAACGTTTCAATAATACATGTTGATTCCTATTTTAACTCTCCTTCGTGTAGTGTTTAAATAATCTTTGTAACATTCCTTTTTTAACTATTTTTATTTAAGATATACTGTAGGTACTATTAATTAATTACTTTTCAACAAATTATTTTTACATAAATATTTTATCTGTTTTTGTTCTGATAATACATTTTTTAATAATAACATATATTAATAATTAAAAATAATTTATACTATCTTAACATATCTCACATTCCTTTATTACAAATGTCTTTCCAGGTATATTATCAAACACGATTTCGATTTTGGATATTTCGGACTTATTTTCAGATGTACAGTTTAATATTACCTCATAATATAACTTTCCCTTAGTATTGGTGCCTGTGAGAGAAACTTTAAACCATTTATAGTTTCTAATTTTTTCTCCAAGCATTTGCTGTCCATCGCCATAAGTGATGCGACCCATTGTTATAGGTTCTCCAAGATATGGTACAGCTTTCTTATGAGCATGTAGGGCATTTATCGCGAATTTATAAGTGTCACTTTTTTTGATATCTTGTTGTACGCGGTAATGAAAAGCATAACCTGTACCGGCTGTCACAAAGCCTCCCAAACCTGCTATTTTCATAAGCGTGTGATTTGATACCATCTATAACGAAAAAATAGCAAAAAATAATACAGAGTGATGGTTTCTTAGAAAACTGCAATTCCTCTCTTTATCTATAGACAATTTTTTCATCGTGTAACCTAATCTAATCTTGTAACAAACCAACCTCGGATGTAGAATTACTGAACTCTACATGTAACCAATATACTACACTCCGACGCTGCACATGCGCGAAAAGTACACCTAATTTTCTATTTTTCGCATTTCTTTTTCTTTCCTGAAGATCGTAATAATCTGTTTTAATTGTATTATTAACAATTAGTTTCGATGATTCTAGCTGAACATAATTGAACATTTAAGAAAGATTTGTAATGATATAGATAGCGTTATTGTCGACTTGTCTTATCTCGCGCATGACCATTAAGATTTTAGCTTCAAACATCAGACGTCATGTTACTATATTACGTCTGCTAATCACAAGCGATTGCTAGTCATAGCTGGTCATAGCAATGGTTAGTATATGATCGCTTTGAAGTTTCGTGAAACTCGGCACGACTGAGACCGGGTCAGTTTACCGCGAGAGAACTTTTTTTTTCTGAGCTTTGTTAAGTTCTTCGAAAGCAACTCGCACATTCAATAATCGTGAGAAGTCGAGAATGGGTCTGCTTTCCGAAGGAAGTCCTTTAAATTGGGAAGAGACAAAGAAGCTATCCGATCACGTGCGCAAGCATGGAGTTATTCAATTTATTAACCTGTACAAGAGACTCAGAGACAGACAAGGAGATGTTCTCAAGTGGGGTGACGAGGTACACAAAGTTAATCCTCCTGATCATAGCATGTTGCATACGAGTTAATATAATTTGCCAATGTCATTCTTGAAATGTCGCATTATTGTGTAATTGCGCTCACTTCTCTTTCTCTCTCTTTTAACCTTATATTCAACTCATCGCAAGGATGTATCACATACGTCATGGTATAGTATAATGGTCTAGTATAATTGTTTAAATATTTATCTATGTCACCGGAAAGTGTGGATCGAAGCGGATCGAAGACTGCTTTGATTTTTTTTGGCGCGTATATGGCATGTTCATCATGCATACTTCTAATTATATATCCTATCATTGCCATGTACAATTCTCACTAATGATGCACGATCTGTACCTGTTGTATCCTTGAAGTTTTTTTTTTTCCTTCTGATGCCGTGTTCTGATATACACAGTCAGAGTATACTGAAATGCTATAGTGTACGTTACGTGAACTATAAATTTCAATACTGACAGTGTATATCAGTCCGAGTAATCAAGAGACAAGGTCGATTTATCGTTGCAAATTTACACTTTTCATCGTGTTTGAATGTCTTTACTTGTAAATATTTTGTAAGAATTTATTTTATAAGAATAAAATCAAATAATTTTCAGAAATGTTTTTAACCTATTGACTTTGATTTATTGCTGTTGAAAAATTTTTTTAAGATTAAAACCATTTTTTTGTCATGTTTAACATAATGTCCATTATAAAAAATAAATTGAGAGAATGGCCTCTTCTTTTTTAAAATTGATTTAATAATATATAAATTTCAATTGAAAAATAAATAATAACATAAATACATTAATAATTCTCAAATTAAGTAGTTCAAATTGAGAAAATATTTATGGAATTTCACAAATAAAATTAAATCGTCACAAATGGAATTATAATAGTATTCTTGATAAATTATTTTTAAGCAGAATTTAATTTTTATCTTTATCAGGATATTCCACTTTGGAATTAAAAGGTGGTCTCTAATTTCATCCAGTATAGTACAGAACAAACTTTTATAAGATAATTTCACTTTATATGTAAAAAAAGGTTGTCAAAGAGTATTAACGTTTAAAGTAATTATTTTAACATGAGAAAAATTTAACTTGTGTGTAAATAATTATTAATCAAAATAATGCAATAATTATTATTTCATTACCAAAATTAAAAGATCATGGGTTAAATCAAAGTTGGTAATAATTGTAAATATACTTTGATTAATCAGAGCAGTGTATATTGTAAATAGAATATTTTATTTATACTTTTTATCCAATTTATGTCTTGTAATTTTGTAATGTTCAACATCTATATTGATATTTAATGAAGAGATTTACTTACTAAGTGTCTTTTTTTTATTACTTTTGTACAGGTAGAATACATGCTCATTAAATTTGATGATGATGAAAAAACTGCCAAGCTAAGTTTAAGAGCTGTGGAAATATTAAAAATCTTAAATGAGAAAGAAACTGAAGATCCAAAGTAAGTCTAATAAATTGCACATACTGACATTATCATACATAATACTTGATATTGTTTTCTTCATTTAAATGTATAAATATTGTATAAAATGAAATTGATCAAATAAGCTTTAAAATATCAGTGCTTTCTTCTTTTGCTAATTCCAAGTAACTTTCGTACAATTTTATATTCATTTTTGAAAGTTTATAATATAAAAACCAATATAAGTTGCAAAAAAATAATAATTATCATATTTTTACTGTAAAAACATTTAGTTTGAATAGAAACTTTAGAAAAATTTTCAATTTTTGAAAAAATTTGACAATTTTTTTTTCTTCCTACGTTATATACTGCATCTTATAAATTAATACTCTGGGAAATTACAAACATTTTTCCTGTTTATTAATTTATAATGTCTTTCAAAAGCGCTCCAACGTTTCGCGCTTTTTATTCTTGTAGTCTTTTTGCTTTGTATTGTAGAACCCATACGTCCCACATTATACATACTATATACTGTTCCTTTTTTTCCATACATACTTTTGATCTTTATCTATATATATGTATCTATATATTCTGTACTATTTTACTTATATATTGAGATTGACGTTATAGATATTAAAAATATAATTATTATCACAGTAATGTAAAATCACTATGGAGACCAGAATATGGCGCTTACATGATTGAAGGAACTCCAGGAAAACCATATGGAGGATTATTAGCACATTTTAATGTTGTGGAAGCTAATATGCGTTATCGAAGGCAAGAGGCAACAAAATTACTCCAGTCTAATGAAGTCTTAATGTCATTAACTGTTTTTCCAAGGTAATTATATAGGTAAAAAAATAAATCATTAATATCTTCCAGATATTTAGATCATTTTATAAATTTCATTATGTTGCAGAGTAGGAGCACCTGATTTTACCGATCCTCCTAGTCACCCGACACCCGACACTGGTGCCTCTAGAAGCTTATTTTTTCCCGATGAAGCTATATATCCCGGTCATCCACGTTTCAAAACATTGACCAGGAACATAAGAGAACGGCGTCAAGAGAAAGTCGCTATCAATATTCCTAGTATGTGATCAGATTGTGAAGATATCGAAAGTTTTCTATTATATTTATGAAAATTGAAATATAGGTAAATTCTATTCGACATGATTCTACGATATAAATAGATTCTTTCAGTTTCTAGAGATAAAAATGTGTCATTGTTATTCAAAGAGGATTTTACTAACAATGGAGACGATGAGTCCTCTACAGCAGCGAAAGATAATCACATCTACATGGACGCAATGGGTTTTGGTATGGGATGTTGTTGCTTGCAACTTACTTTTCAAGCATGTAACATACAAGAAGCAAGAACATTATATGATCAACTGACACCATTATGTCCAATCATGGTTAGTGTTAACACTGCACTGCTACTCGACAATTTCTGTTTTTCTTTCCTCTTTTTTTCTATTTTTTTCTTAATAGCTAGACGTATCGTCAGAATCTTTTTTCAACGTACGTTACAGAACATTTCTTTAACATTCGACAGTTGGCTTTAACTGCGGCTAGTCCATTTTATCGAGGCTTTGTAAGTGACGTTGATTGCCGATGGAGCGTCATATCCTCGTCGGTAGATTGTAGAACGCAGGAAGAACGTGGATTGAAACCTCTTAAAGAAAACAAATTTAGGATCAGTAAGTCTAGGTACGATTCTATCGATTCGTACCTTAGCGAACAGGGTGAAAAATACAACGATGTCCCTTTGACATACGATGATGAGATATATAAGCAACTTTTGGATAATGGGATCGATCATTTACTCGCACAACACATAGCCCATTTGTTTATCAGAGATAGTGTTTCCTTGTTTTCGGAAAAAGTACATCAAAACGACTTGGAAGATACCGATCACTTCGAGGTAAGATTACAACTATAATAACATTGGGACTTTTCAGACTATAGCAGCAGCTTGTAGATATAATAGTTCACAATCGTAAACTGTAATAATATTTCAGAACATACAATCTACAAATTGGCAAACTATGCGCTTTAAACCGCCACCACCAAATTCTTCTATTGGTTGGCGCGTAGAGTTCCGTCCATGTGAAGTACAGATCACGGACTTTGAAAATGCCGCAATAGTTTGTTTCACGGTACTTTTAACGAGAGTCATCTTGAGCTACAAGTTGAATCTTTTGATCCCGATCAGCAAGGTTGATCAAAATATGGTCAGAGCGCAGAAAAGGGATGCTGTCAAAGTAGAAAAATTTTGGTTTCGTCGTGATATTACTTCAGATATGAAATCTGACGATGCTCAATCGAAGTACACCGAATTTACGATTAATGAAATTATTAATGGAAAGGTGCTTATCAAACAAAAAATAACGCTATATCGAAATAGAATCTTGCTCTACATAAAAATCTTCATATAAATTTACTTTCTAAATGATAAATTCTCTTACTTTTTGTATTTTTTTTTTAGGATGGTATTTTTCCTGGTCTTGTGCCGTTAGTAAACTCATACCTCGCTAACATGGATGTAGATGCTGACACACACTGCACTATCCAAAGATATATAAAATTAATACAGAAACGAGCTTCAGGAGAGCTTTTAACAACTGCAGCTTGGCTGAGGAAGGAAGTTACTTCGCATCCTGAATATAAGTAAGTAATATATTTCACGTATGTCCGTTTTTTTGTATATAAAGCTGTATTTTATTATTTTAAATACAATAACATGGTTCTAATAAAATATCAAATACAAAAACAGGCATGATGCTGTAATAACACAGCGCATCAATTATGACTTGCTAAAAAAGATTCATAGCATTGTTTCCAATGATGTGTCGTGTCCAGAACTACTTGGGCAATGCGTATTGTCTAAAACTACGGATACCATACCTGCTGCTGTTGCAAAAGCAGAAAAATGTTCAACAGCAAATTGTTAACGATTTGGAAGCATTTCAGATAAATTGGTAAATATATCTTTTATAATATTATTATACATTTAATACCATTAATCTTAATTGGATAAGTACACTCTTGTGTAGTTTTTGTTAAAACAATACTTAAAAAAAAAACAAGTATAGTGAGGAAATATCAAATTTTATATTCCATTTGTTATAGTTCATGTTACATTGCTTTTATCTATCCAATATAAATGTATAATATAAGAGAGAAGTATAATTTTCGTAATTTTTAAGTTTGAACAGAAGGAAAACAGTATTGAATACGTGTATAGATAGAAATTAGTATTGCTATAAATCAACGAAATTACATTCCGCAAACTAAATTTGTGCTCGCTAAAAATGTATCATTCGATATTATTATGAGTATATTGAAAACTTTGTTAATGGAATAAATGAGATGTTTTAATTATATATTAGTAATGCAGTGTATGTATGTAATTAAAATTAATAGAAGTTTTCATATTATTTTCTGATTTATTGATGAAGTAAATTTTTGATAGTTATCTCTATCGAGATTTTTATTCTTACCAATTTTATGATTTATAATGATTAATAGTAGTTGAGCGAACTAACTTTGATTATGTTTTTGCTATCGACACGAATGATTTTTCTTCTCTTCTTCTATCCTATTGATAAGATAAAGCATATCTCATAAATGTACCATAAAACTGTCATCTGACATCATATGTGAAACTATATACTGATGACTGATGTAACAGTAATTATTATTTGCAAAAATTTTATAAATTATATTTACAGCTTCTATCGCTTTACATCATGTTGGAAATCTGTTTCATGGAATTAGCGGGTCTGTTAACGAAAAATTATTTACATTTTGCATTGAAGTAAATTTCAACCGTTATTTCAGTAAATTTCTTCTTAATATTCGAATGTAAACGATTTGCGTTTAAAGTATTTATTATTATTTTTATTACAATTTTCTTCCACAGTGTATATATATATATATATATTTGAACAATATTGTGTATGTATATGTGTTATTTCTATATTAGGCAACTTTTTTTATCAACTTCTATTTATTTAACATACATACACTGAACAAAAATAATTAAATTATATTAATTATAAGGATCAAGAAATTGGATATATTTAAGTGCTAAAATTTTAGATAATCCATGTGATCAAAGAGAAATGTTGCAACAGATATGTACTTACAATTTTCACAAACTGTACAAAATGATATAAAAATATCTTTATATATATTTCTAGCTTTTAACATTGTATGACTAAAATAAACGCGTTTTACACGCGTAACGGGGCAATGGACGTTTTCCCATAGTTTTGTTTCCTGCATTTAACGATTAACCTACTTAAAATGGTAATTCGCGTTGCTCCCATACAATGTATTAAAACAAATTAGATAAATTAAAAATAAATAAGCGTGCGCCACACACACACAAACACACAGAGAGAAAGTGAGAGAGAGGGGGGGGGGTGCCTCATTTTTATATGTGCATCGTTGAATTTAGATAAAAAAGCTTATTAAAAATGCCAAAAAATATGTATAGTGCCATTTAAAAAGTTAAAATTTATTTTGACTTGGTGGAATAACACTGAAAACTAAGCTGATAATAATACCATCTTATATTCCTTGATAACAACACAACTTATATCTGAAACTTATTTCCTAAAAGGATCTCCTTTTTTTGGAAATATTTAGATGCATTATTTGAAATAGGACACTCTGTATATGTATGCTCTTACGATAGTTTTTGCAAATTAAAAGAAAATTTAAATGAAATTGTTATCACATTGGAATAAATCAATAATGATATATACCTGCCTATTTTGTTTTTACTCTTTTCACATCTCTCTTTTTCCTTTTAATATTTTTCTTAGTGTACAAACAGATTAAAGGAGATGATATATAAATGTATGCAGTTTATACAATTATGATTGCTTTGAGTGCTTTTATGGATGTAATTGCTTTAAAAAATTATTTTAGTCACTATTATAAAGTGTTTCATTCGGAATGTATAATATATTCCATTCTATTAACTATAATTTAAAATAAAAATTTATCAATAAAATATATTTATTTAAATTCATTACATTTATCTAAACTTGTTCTATATGAAATATAACTATTCCAGAATAGAGCAATTGATTGTACAACTAAAGTTTGGTAATGTAATGGTACCAGAGAAAAATTCACAAGTTGTACCATAGGCCAAAGCTAAAATAAGAATGTAATAAGTTGTGAAGAAAAAGTATATCATTTATATATAACATAACAAAAAAAGTGTTACCTTATAATTATTCGTTAAAATATCATTATATTCATTTATCATCTTAATCTTTAGTCCTTCAATATCTTTTCCTTGGCAAATGCCAATAACAACTAATAAAACTGCTATAAATGTAGGAGCATATAACAATTGGTCACAAGCAACCTTTTTTATTGCAACGGAGTAACCTTTAGACCCTATGTATTTGTCTAAAATTCCATACCATGTTCTTGTCGCTGGACCCTACATTTTATTGACATATATTATCACAAACTTCTTTTCTGCTACTTCTCAAATTTCAGATTTTTTAGTGAGATTAAATGATAAATATTTCAGAAGCAGATTTATTAAAAAAGTATTTAAGATTCTTAAATATTTTATTTATAGAGTATTTGTAATTACTTACACTAATAAAGAAACCAATCCCAGCAAATTTCATTGTACGTACAAAATCAATAGTTTTCGACCTATTTTCTATAAAATTTTGTGCAATCTGATCACCGAGTCCCATTAGTATACCTATATATCCAATTAATATAATGCATACATACATAGAATAAATATTAATGTGCAATAAATTGTTAATTACATTACCAGCTTGTACTGCTTGTGTACCGATGGGATATTTTCTCAACACTCTTTGATACATTATCTTTATATTTCGCATAATTGTGATTATACGTCACTCGTTGCATTAAATCGTTTATTATAGTTTTCGACTGACAACACTGACCACTGATCATTAAGCTCTATAAAGGCCATTGCACGTAAAAACGTTTCAATCGTAACCGTAAAACGTAAGCAAATCGACCAATCACAGTGAGCAGTAATGCAAGCCCCTTAGGGTGCCGTCACATGCGGCGTAACTTGCGTAAGCGTAACCCGAGTATTCTAGTAACTTTATCAAAAATTACGCATTCTGAAAGTCGGCATTCACATGGGGCGTACTTTGCTGAAATGTTAAAAATGCGTAACTAATACAACCAATTGCTGATTAGAGTTTCTGTTGTACACTTTAACAGAAATACTAAAGAAATTTATGATTGGTTTTCGTAACTTACGCATCTGGAAAAGTACGCGTCATGGGGAACCGATATTCTGTATACGAGTATATGTGAAGCGGAATATATGTAATATTTATAAAGTAAATCTGATTTAGTACACCTTGTATGTTCTTGAGGTTATGTAAAAAGATTATCGGTGATATTGATAGACTCATCATTCCAGAAGGTACTAATTTATATTCATGCTAATTACGTTATAATTAATAATTCATTAAGTTAATATTCAAATATTAATTTTTATATATTAGTAGATGATTATGAGCTCAGAAGTGTATAATGAATCCTGATTTAGTATTATTTATTATATGGAAACAATGGCAAAGGTGGAAGAAGCAAACATTTCAACAGCGGAAAATTAGAAAACATCACATATTAAAACTTATCTTTTACATATGTGACAAAATGTACTCTTTTCACGCTGCATCACCTACACCCATTGAGTAAAAAGAAACAGGAGGGAGCGTTTGGTCTTAAAAGTGCGGACGGAAGTGACTATATAAAGTGGTCGCTCAAGATGGCCGCTCAAGGGCGCCAATATTGAATGACTTGTTATGTTTAATTAGGAAATAATGTACAATTAAAAGAAAATAACTATAATATGCAACAATAATACAAAATTTTAATGGCGTTTTTCATTGAGATTGCACTCATGCAGTATTTCCATAAGAGCAATGTTAAAATCTAAAATCTAAATTTATATTAAATCCTTCGTCCTTACAAAAATTTATCCATGCATTTCTTTGATCCGGATTTTTCGGAAACCTGTTTGTGAGTGAAAATTATTTAGTAATTATTGTGAATCTACAATTTCACAATACTATACATATGATTATAATCTCCAAAATAAAAATCTCATTATTGTTGATAATACTAACCGATGAAACGTTATTCCATTGATTTCGAGCTGCTGCTGTTATGCTACAAGCTCTACAGTATACTATTTTGATTCGTTTATTTCCATACACTGTTGCATAAAAGACTATACACTGCATATTAAATGCGTACGGCGTACGGTATGCCGCTTGCCGCTATGCTCGAGCATTCCCTCTCACTTTCAAAAAGTGGTCGCTCAAGAT